GGGGGGGGGGGGGGGGGGGGGGGGGGGGGCGACTGGATGCCGTCACGCCAAATGCTTTAACGAGACGCGCGCAGCTCGACGACACACTTGAAAGTAGCGGATGTTGGTCCTGCTGCCAAATCTTTCCTGAGGCTCTTTGACAGTAATCGGCAGCAGCTGCGTGCGCGTTCGTGCCGTGTTGACATCACAGACAGTGAATGTTGCAAGTGTGAAAGTGCACTTAATTAGCGCCGCGCGTGCGTGCGTGCGTGCGTGCGTGCGCGCGCGTTTTGGAAGGAGGCCGCCGGTCCCTCCTTGACTTTGTTTTGCGTGACGACTGAGGAAAAAGCCTTGTGGTCTCTGTCACTTGCGCGACCAAGTTGTCACCTGTCAATCAACACGCCGACTGCTCGATGGCCCTCGCGCGTGACGCCGACGTCGTCGGCACCCCCCCGCCCGGCCGGATCATGTTGATGAATCCTCCCCGGCGTCCGCAAGAGTTGGTTGGCTTCTGGTTGCTGCGAAATGGGCCGCCGGTCTTCCGGTGGGGCTCGGCGCCGACCGCCGCATCGCGGCGCCGCGTCGTAGTCCGCTTGAGCTCGCGCTCGACATGGCTTCGGCGACTACTGCGGCGGTGGTGGGAACGCTTTTTTTCAACTCATCATGCCGTGCCATCCTGGATTTGGTGGCTCCTTCAAAAACCGTGCTCCCAGAACCTAACCCCGAGCCTTGGTTTAATGACACAACTCGCGCAGCTAGGCAGGGGTGTGGCAAAGCCGAACGCAAGTGGAAAAAAGACAAATTGCAGGTCTCTTATCAAATTTGGAAAGACTGCTGGCATAACTACCAGCTCACAGTAAAGGAGGCCAAAAGAGAATATCTGTCGGACCTGATTCAAGCTCACCGTCACAACCCATGCGCACTATTTAAAACCATAGATTCTGTACTCGAACCCCCTCTGCCTACTTGCTCGGATTCTTCACCCGAGATGTGCAACAGATTCCTTCAGTTTTTCCTTGATAAGGTCTCTACCGCTAGGACTCCGGTCTCAAATACCGCATCTGACCCCTCTGTCCATATTCCGTGTTCAGCTGTGCTAAATCCTTTTGAAACTGTGTCCTCCACGTTTTTGGAGGATGTAGTTCGCCAGACGAAGCCATCTGGCTCCCCCTGCGACTCTCTTCCCCCGCATTTCTTTCAGGAGGTTCTCCTGAGTGTTGGTGCATCGGTCTTGGACATCATCGACAGCAGCCTCTCTTCTGGTATAGTTCCCCAACAGAGGTCTTCCGGTCAGGTTTCAAGACGATGCATAGCACGGAGTCAGCCCTGTTACGCGTTTCTCATGACATCCTCCTGGCAAATAACACTGGAGACTACGCGTGTCTGGTTTTATTGGATTGAACTGCAGCATTTGATACAGTGGATCACGGTATTCTGCTCACTCGTTTGCAGCACTTGGTGGGCATTGGCGGGAGCGCTCGAGTGGTTCAGGTCCTATTTAGCTGACAGAACCTTTTGTGTCAGCCTTGGCTGCTCTGAGTCACGCACTGCTCCCCTGTCATGTGGTGTTCCACAGGGCTCAATTCTGGGGCCTCTGCTGTTCTCGCGGTATCTGCTCCCATTGGGTTCCATCTTAAGGAAACATGGTATTTCCTTGCACTGCTATGCAGATGACTGCCAGATCTATGTCCCGCTGAGCAAAAAAGACGCCTTCCCATGAAGGCCACTTCCATCCTGCCTGGAAGAAATCAAAACCTGGATGGCAGGCACAACATTTCTTGACTTTCAATGAAAAGAAGACAGAGGTGATACCGTTTGGTCCCAGTGGCCCTCGTACATCCCATCCTGTCGACTTGGGCCTCCCGTCTCCTTATCTTAAGTCAACAGTCTCAAACTTGGGCCTTAAACTGGACAGTGATTTCAAACTCGACCGGCAAATTGGTGCCGTTGTTCAATCCAGCTTCTTTCACCTCAGACAGCTGGCCAAAGCAAAACCTCTCCTCTCTCGTGAACACTTTGAGACAGTCATTCATGCCTTTGTCACATCCCGGCTCGATGACTGCAATGCCCTTGACTTTGGAGTCAGCCAGTCCTCCGTTAAGCGCCTCCAGCTGGTCCAGAATGCCGCCGCTCGCCTCTTGACCGGTACTCGTAAGAGGGAGCACATAACTCCTACTCTGGCATCCCTTCACTGGCTCCCCATACATTTTAGAGTTATTTTCAAGATCCTCTTTTCATTTGTTTTCAAATCTCTAATTCTGTTGCTGGTGCCTCTCTCTGGAATGACCTCCCACTGAACATTGGGCAAGCCTCCTCGCCGCCCATCTTCAAAACCCGCCTCAAAACTCACTTGTATTCTTTGGCATTCGACTCAGCATGACTCCGATTTGTTCTTGGTTTTGCTGTTCGGTGCTTTCTACCGTCTTTATTACCCATTTGTTTTACTGTTTGTCGTACATGTTAAATTGCTCCGCGTACAGCACTTTGTATGCAGCGACGGCTGTTTGAAAGGGCTCGAGAAACACAGTTGAGTCGAGTTGAGTGATTTGTCATGTCCTTGTTTATGATGATACGAATGCAGCGCGTTATGCCGGAGACAAATTCCTTGTGTGTTCTACTTTGTTTTCAAATCTCTAATTCTGTTGCTGGTGCCTCTCTCTGGAATGACCTCCCACTGAACATTGGGCAAGCCTCCTCGCCGCCCATCTTCAAAACCCGCCTCAAAACTCACTTGTATTCTTTGGCATTCGACTCAGCATGACTCCGATTTGTTCTTGGTTTTGCTGTTCGGTGCTTTCTACCGTCTTTATTACCCATTTGTTTTACTGTTTGTCGTACATGTTAAATTGCTCCGTGTACAGCACTTTGTATGCAGCGACGGCTGTTTGAAAGGGCTCGAGAAACACAGTTGAGTCGAGTTGAGTGATTTGTCATGTCCTTGTTTATGATGATACGAATGCAGCGCGTTATGCCGGAGACAAATTCCTTGTGTGTTCTACATACTTGGCCAATAAAGATGGTTCTGATTCTGATGGCCCGGCCGATGTTTTTGTGGCAGATGAAGACGGAGCTGAGCGACGACGACTCCATCACTCAGGAGGTGGTGGGCAACGCCCACATCGAAAACTACGCCCTCAAGATGTTCCTCTACGCCGACAACGAGGACCGAGCGGGACGATTCCACAAGTAAGTTGGAGCTTTGGATCCGGACTTGCTGTGAGGAGGGAAAGGGGAAATCCATCTGCGCCGCAGTGAAAACGGGAGCACGGTATCGCAATTTTGGAATGTGGGTGACCTCATCAACTGTCGCTGTGCGCAGGAACATGATCAAATCCTTCTACACGGCCAGTCTGCTGCTGGACGTCCTGTCCGTCTTCGGAGAGCTGTCGGAGGAGGTGAGCTCTTGCGCCGCGCTCGCCCGACGCTCCCCCGACGCTCCCCGCAACAAGTACTTTGCCGCGTCGTTCGCGGCTCTTTTCTGCTGACGTCCTGGCGGAAAGGCTCCGCAGAAGCCGCGTTGCTTTTCGGCCATTCCGGCCCACTTGAAGCAATGCGAGGAAAGTTGGCGGCGCCTCAGCCTGTTGACCTGCGCCGCGCGCCGCCGCCATTTCTTTTGATTTTGACGCTGTCCGCAGAACATCCAGCACAGGAAGTACGCCCGCTGGAAGGCGGCGTACATCCACAACTGCCTGAAGAGCGGCGAGACGCCCGAGGCCGGACCCATCGGCATGGACCTGGACCAGGAAGCAGGTGCGCAACCGCCATCGCAAACACACGGCGTGCCTTCGCGCGCCCGCAGAGACGCTTCGACGCTCGCTCGGTCACTCGCTGGCAAACGGGGATGGAGCGTCTTGAGCCCAGGAAAGACGAGCGCCGCTTAGCCGGGCGGCCGCGTGTGCGCTCCTTTCTCCCCTGCTGTCTTTTCATGACACGGCGCGTCGCCACCACGCGAGGCGTCGCGCGCGCTCGATGTCGTCTTTGGAAATCGACGTCCAGTAAATGAGCGGCCCGCGGCCCAACTTGCCGGTGCTCTCCCCACCTTGCTTCCGCTTCGCGCTCGGTGTCCATCCACGTTTGTCCTGAACTGTCCTTTTGCCTTCCCAGATGAAGACGAAGGCTTCTCGGGCCTCGCGCTCTCCCAGGGCGGCTCCTTCCGGGGCGGGGGCGCGGCTTCCTCTCAAGACGCGGGCGGGGCCGCGGCGCCGGGCATCGGCTTCGCCGGCGGCTCGGAATCGGGGCCTTCCGGACCCCCCGGCAACGTCCGCGTCCCCCCCGGAGCGCACGCCCCGGCCAACACGCCGGCAGGTAGCCGCCGCTCGCCTCCGCCGTAACGGAGCGCCGTCGTCGGCCAAGGCTCGGCCCGTCACGCCTGTCGTGTGACCCGACAGACTCCGTCAAGCCGGTGCCGATGCCCAGGACCGCCGTCGACCCCGACCTCTCTGGCGGCCAGCGGCAAGGTCAGCCACGTCCAAACGGGCGCTTCTCACACTGCCGAGGCAAAGAGGATCGTGACACGATGACAAACGCGCGTTCCCTTCAGCGATTCGCGCGTGCAGTGTGTGAGCTAGCAGATGAGCCAATCGTGCCCCGGCGCGTCGCAAATACGCGACCGCAAATGAGGATGTTTGAAAAGACCCCCCGAACCGACCTGCGAACACGATGACGCCTCGCCTCCATTAGCTCGCCGTGCCCATCGTGTCATCGCATCAAGCGATCAATTTCTGCGACCGTGTCCGCTCCCGCAAAAGGCGAGCGAATTAAACGCGGAGCACATAGCAGCCCGTCACCGAGCGGCGTGATTCACCGAGCCGGCCGACCGTCGCTCGTACATTTGCCAAAGCGCTCCCGAGGGCAGGCGGCCGAGCTTGACGGCGGCCGACCGCGCGCTTGAAGTGACGGCGACGGCAAAGGGGTGAAGGTCGGGGAGGTCGCCCGTGGCCAACGTTCGGCAACCCAACCTCTGCCCCTCCCCCCGCAGGTGACGTGCGCCTCTCGGCCGAAGACTTCACCAAGGCCCAGAAGTACTGCAAGTACGCCGGCAGCGCCCTGCAGTACGAGGACGTGCCCACGGCCGTCCACAACCTCCAGAAGGCCCTCAAGCTGCTCACCACCGGAAAAGAATGACGCCTTTGTTCGGCCGGCCCCCGTCTCTCCGCGCCATCTCATCGGCTTTGACGGAGACGGGGGCTCGACAATGGGCGCCTGTGTGCGCCCGCTGCCGGTCTCGATGACAAAAAGCCGCCGAACGGGGCTTCCCGCCACAGGGGGCGCCGCGCTCCTCTCGTTTTGTCAACGCGCCCGTGCGTTGTCTCATTGCGCAACGTCGGCGACTGCGCGCGCGCTCGTCGTCCTTCTTCCGAGCTAATGACTTGCCGGCCCGATGAGTTGTTTGCAACGGATGTTGCCGTGACGAAGATCCCAATACATCCAATTAAATTGTTTGCACTTGTGTCGCTTGGCCGTTTCTTTGTTTGGACCCTTGAAAACGCCGTTTACCATCTGCGTCGGTCGTTCTGTTGGGCCGTCGTCACGTGCGGTGCCCGAAGGTCGACCCTCGCGGTGCCCCCGCAGGAGATGTCGACTCCAAGCGGCCAATTGACCCCCACCCCCAAATGGAACGGAGCGCATCTCCCGATCAGGGCTCGCGCCGTCAGGAGAAGCCAAGCCCGCTCCAACGCCCGAACCCATTTGGAGGCGTCGCCGACGCGCACGACCACGTCTGCGTTGCTCGCCGCCAGTCGGGCGGTCGAGGCCGGCGAATCAAACGCACCCTGCAGCCAGAGGCGCCTTGGTATCCCTCCCCTTGCTCGGCCCCCCCGCCCCCTCCTCTTCACAGCCCGCTCTGTGTGCATGTGCGTGTGTGCGCCTTCAGGTTTGGGCTGGAGACTCCGACAAAGTTTGGGAGCGGGACAAGAAGAAAAGAGAAGGAAGGACGAGGAGGCGACGTCGCGCGTCGGAGGCGAAATGTGGCACGGCAAGAAGCGGCGCTAAACATGTGAGTTTCCAGTTGCCTGTCTGGGAAACGCTCGACTTTGTCCGCTTGACCGAGCGGCCGTGACGTCGTTCCTTGTTTGGGGCTCGACGTTTTTGGCAAGTGGCAGGAGTCGCTCCTGAAACGTGCCAGAAGCGGCGCTCGACATTTTAGGGAATTCTTTTTGGAACTCTCACGCCAATGTTCACATTTGACCTCACCGTTGTTGTTTGGAAGGCGGAGAAAAGTGCCCGACGGCAACTCGGGTGATCGTCCCATGAAAGTTGCGTGACGTCTTCCCTCCGACTTCGGGTGAAATACCAAGATCAAGTCCACGTACGGGCGAAGAACGAAACGTGGAAATCGGTCGCCGTTTGCTTTTCGATCGACAAGCCGGACCTGAGCCCGGCGCGATGGGGCGTGGCCTAATTCCACGAGGTCGCGCGGCAAAATCCTTTTGGAGATTTTGCCGATTTCCAGTCGAGTCGCGGTTCGATTGCGCCGATGACGGACTCGAATAGACGAGCGCGAGCAGCAGCCGCCCGTCGCGCCTTTGCGGGCCGGGTCGTGGGCGGAGACTTGACAAAGAAGACTCTTGTTTGAAGGTCGCGACCGCCCGCGTGAATATTCATCAACCCCGGCCGGGCAGCTCGACCGGATTCTAACGAGGCTCGCGAATGTTCGCTCGGCGCCCAAGCTAACGAGCCTGCGCCTCTCCTCAGGGCGGCGCGTCGCCGAGCCGGCGGGGCCGGGAGGCCCGCCGTCATCCTCGTGTGGGCGGGGCTGCACGCGTACGGTAAGACGCTCGAACGGGCGACGTCGGGACACGCGGGGGCAAACGCCGGGCCGCTCGGTTTTCGCCCCGTCTCGGCAAACGCGCGTTTTGTCGGTCCTCGCCGAAGCCGACGCGCGAACTCGTTTTCGGAACGGCGAAGGTCACGAGCCGCTCGGGGACGGCAAGGACCGGCAAAGTCTCCCCCGGACGACCCGAACGCCAAAGCCGCCGACCGTCTCGCCCGCGGAGCGCTCGGTACCTCGATGGGCGGTCACGTGACCTCGGCGTCGCTTTCCTTCGAGGCTTCCGTCGACGACGTCGTCGACACGTACGCCGCACGGGAGCTCCGGCCGACTTTCAACGAAAGCCGATGCGGCGACGTTTTTGCGCGGCGGACCCGAAACACGGAGTCGCTGATCCGACCAGACCCAAAGCAGAAGTTGAAAACAAAGCCGCCTGATTTTGGACGCGCGCGTGGAATATATTTTCCATACCCCTCCGGCAGCCTCCGCCAAGTACGCTCGTAAAGTTCCCCCTCCCCCTCCCCCCCTCCTCTCTCTCTCACACTCACAGTGCGTTTGGTGCGCGCGCGTGTTTAGCCGAAAGAACATTGGCCACATTGACGCTGGCCACACAATCGGCTCCTCACACTCCTCGGGGAGGATGAAGACCCGCCCACTTGATTTTGAACTTGTTCTTGCCACGCCTTTGACGACATGACGTCACTCTGACCTGACCCAACACACAAGCATCAACGCGTGCGCGCACCCCCCCCCCCCCCCCCTTTCAAGCCGACTGTGGCGTTTTGCTGGCAAC